ATTGAGGCCGGCTAGATCAGGCATGATCACAGCCGTAACAAGTAAAAGTACAGGGTGTTCAGTATTCATAGTCATGTGGCCATGTGACCACATGCGTACTACCATTAGCAGTTTTAGTAATCGTAATTATGTGATGATTTAGTAGTTTGCACCCCAGCCTTTAATGCCGCGATTTTATCCTCCGTGTTGTATGTTCACGTGATAATCACGCAGCAGTTTGGCTCGCCGTCAACGAGAGTATTGGTCGTCCATGCCCTCCCCCACATGACTGATTCTCCTGGTCAGGCAAAGTCGCAAAAGAAAATATAGTAACGGCAAGTACTTGCGCTTGTTGATAGACTGGACCTAAGTGTCATGACTGGAGCAGCTCGCGGTTCACGCAGTGAACACCTCTTGCAAGGACTTAGGCCTCGGGAAGCTTAAAAGTATGGCCGGGTCCCGTCGAGTAAGCTGCAACCTGAGAGCTAGCGTCTTCTCCTCCTCACCGCTGCTGCATGCTCGGCCATTCGGGTTCGGAGTAATCTCCCGATTTCGCCGACGTATTTGCTTCTTACACAACTGCACTAGATCTGGTAAACGGCTCTTGACGTTTTTGGCTGTGACAGTGGGTCTTTCAGCTTCGTGGCCCATCGCCTGATGGTCGCCTACGACCTGTGTGCAGCGCAAACTCAAAATGGAGTGAGAGAGCGCCTGAGGACTCCCGAGACTTTCAAATACCAAAGAGATCGCCAAAATTTTGGCGTCTCGTTTGCGTATACAGTGGGCAACCATTCTCTCTTAGATCCCTTCCATGGTATTATTATTCAGCAATTTTGTCTTTCGGTAAGGACTCTAGGGCAACTTGGGCCTGGATCGCCCCTATCTGTGATTGTCTCTGTTGATGGGGTTTGAAGGAGCCTCTAAAACGTCAGGAAAATGAGCGTATTCCTTCAGAGCCTGCATCTCCTCCTTCTAAACTAGACCTTTCGAAGCCAAATCCGTCCGACGAGTTGCCTCCATCACACTTATTTTTTTAATCGCCAGGGTGCGTTAACAGCTGTGGCTTGGAGGGTCGCTGAGCTCTCGGGTAACTTACGTCACCCCCTGTACTAAGCGGAAACAAGCCTAATTTGACCTCTATGACAACGTCCACAAGCTAGTGATACAAAATACACTCTGAAACTTAGCTCGTACGTGTGTATAGGAATCGGCGCCTGCCTGGCGCGCCTAGACGCTACCTTACCGTCGTCAACCACTGTAACCAGATCAAGTCACATTGATTGAGTTTTGCCATTGGAACAC